CACACACACACACACACACACACACACACACACACTAAAGGTGACCACATAGCATTCATTAGTGATTTGTTATTGTTTATTACAGATTGCCAAAGGACTGAAGTTGACTTTTGACACAACCTTCTCACCAAACACCGGGTAAGTTGAATAAAATGACATTTTCTGTGAATTCTTATTGAAATCTTAATGAATGAATCTTGTTATGACCATCGTTTCTTTAGACTAGTAATTATAGGAGCCAGATCTTTGCTCCATGTCCTTCTGAGAGTTGTTGTTGCTGGCCATGTGACCTTAATCAGAGTATGGAGGTAGTCTTTTTAAAAAGCGATTACAGAGACTGGCTCTCAGTCATTCCTATTGAGTTATTTTTACTTTACTTTTTACTTATATGTGCTTTAACAGTTAGTTGAACTTCATTAGAAGAAATATGTTGGACTTTACTATGCTGCTCATATGGTGAGGCAACAACAAGTAAGCTTTCTTTCTGGAGTATATAAATCACATGAGGAAAGGGCACATGGCCCAGAGGAAGCGTGTCATCTTTCATAGTGAGGGTGGAGTTACGTGGCTACATGGAGACAGCATGTTTACAGCTACGGTGTCATGCTAAAACTAAACACCACTGCTGAGACCAATGGGTTTTTATTATTATACTATGAGAAATGTAACCTCTCAACTGGACTTGATTTAAAAGTTTTTATTTGAGTTTTACAAAACTGACTTTATTCTCATCAACAGCAAGAAGAGCGGCAAAGTTAAGGCTGCCTACAAGCGTGAGTACGTCAACTTGGGCTGTGATGTTGACTTTGACTTTGCTGGCCCCACCATCCACGGAGCTGCTGTCATTGGATACGAGGGATGGCTCGCTGGTTACCAGATGAGCTTTGACACCGCCAAATCAAAAATGGCCCGCAACAACTTTGCCATTGGCTACAAGACGGGAGACTTCCAACTGCATACCAATGTGTAAGGAGAGATCATGTTTTACACATTTGGATTTTAATTTTAAAATGTTTTCCCCAAATTTATAATAAATCATTTCAAAATAGTTCCAAAACCGCTGCCTAACTCTGAAAAATTGGAAGCATATGAGTTATAGTCAATTGACACTTTCTTAAGAAATCCCATATTTGGATTCTTGTTGCCTAAAATCTGTGTTATGATCTTTGAAGCAATGACGGTGCTGAGTTTGGTGGCTCCATCTACCAGAAGGTGAGCGACAATCTGGAGACTGCAGTCAACCTGGCATGGACTGCTGGCAGCAACAGCACACGCTTTGGTATTGCAGCCAAATACCAGCTGGACAAAGATGCCTCCATCAGTGTAAGTAGTTGAGCACAGGGTTTCAGAATAACGTGGAAAAGGAAAAGTGATTGTCTTACACTGACTCTTAAATACTTCTTTTTTTTCTCCCCACCCTTTAGGCTAAAGTGAACAACAATAGTCTTGTTGGTGTTGGGTACACCCAAACCCTTAGACCAGGTGAGTTGCTTTTCTACAGGTTCATCAACTGCTGAAAAGTTAATTAACATCTATTCTTACGACACGTATTACTCTTGTATCCTTTAATCTAACGCTGTTCCACACAGAAGTTTAGACTTGTTGATCTATATATAAATAAATGAACTGACCTAGGGCTGTTCGATATAACGATATATATCGGATGACGATATAAAAACGTCTATCGTTTCATTTTACGCTATCGTTTGTTTCGTGGTGTCGCAAAATAAACAGTTTATGGCAATATTTTTTCATCGTTTTGATGGTCACTGTATATTAATTTCTTAAAGTTCTCTCTTTCTCTTATATTTAATATAACCACACTACGGACGGACAAGCGCCTGTTTTTATGCGTTGTGGTTAGCAACAACGATGGTAACACCATCGCGTGTCCGCTTGTTTATGTTCCACATAAACCTTTCACAATAAAGCTCAAGATCCTGTTGAGACTTTTCAAAATAAACTGAATCACGTGAAAGAGCAGATTATTTACAGATGAGAAGTAAAAAGGAGCCGCCAGGTGCTAAAAAATAAACCTTAGACTCAAACGTTAGAACAGGCTTTTCCCCGCAGCACGCCGTGTAATAAATACTCACAAAGAAAACGGCGGCCGTTACAACTTATGTCTAAAAATGTATCGTTTCATGCATCTGTTAAAACACTCGACTCCAGCTACATGACGCGCAGCTGGAAACACTTCCCGCAAGATGAGCTGCCCGAGATTCACAGAATTTACAGAAAATGTTACATTTGTGTGATTTATATCGTTATCAGGACGATAGAATTCTTATATCGGGATATGAGATTTTGGTCATATCGCACAGCCCTAAACTGACCTTTAACAGAGACATTTATAGAAACACTTAACCACCTACGTTTTTCTCACAAGTATCAGAATGTGATTTAAGCAAGGAATGTTGTAACGGTTAATGTGAGTTCATCTTGTGTGCAGGTGTGAAACTCACCCTTTCTGGTCTGGTCGACGGAAAGAACTTCAACGCAGGAGGCCACAAGCTGGGTCTTGGCTTGGAACTGGAAGCCTAAGCTTTCCTCATACTGGAAGGACTAGGGAATATCAGAAGAACCTGGCCTTAAATGTCATGTCCAACTCAACCAGCAAGGGGATATCTTGGAGAGAATGGTTCAAAGGCTACTGCAACAAACTCTTGAGTACCACTTCAAGATGGTGCTTCTGTCAGTGGTACATTTTATCTTTTGTTGCTTTTTACTTTGTAGTTGCATCTGTTCAAGAGACAGTTCTTGGCATAATATTTATAAATCATGTCATTGTTCCTGTCCAGCACTGCCATAATAATCCGATAAATACAATCCATTTGTCATCAATTCTGTGTGGCTTTATTGTGATAATCCAAGACACTCCTCTTTATTTTTTTTAATGTGTAAACATCAATACATTGATCTGTGGGGAGCATTGTCATACTTGCTCTGGATTCACACTCATGACCATCTGATATTCCTTTGTCATCCAGTTATTTGAAACCTTGTTAAGTACACTAGTACACTACTTTTTTTTTTTTCTGCTAGTATTTAAATGTGGTCGAAACCTACCTGTCGATGCACACAAGGACAAAATAAATCCCTGTGATGTTTTGTTTTGCTTTGTCCATCGCAGTTTTTCATGTCCTGTTAAAGCTGCACATGTTACCTTCCCTAAAACTTGATAGTTTGGGGGGTTGCTTAAAGTTGGAACTGCAAGTTTGAAAGACACCTGTGTACAAGGCCAACCAAACGGGAACAAGCATTTGTTTCTGTACTAACAGATCTGGGAGACGCATCATTGATGTTCTTAGTAATGCCAAACTGTCAATCTCTAGAACAAAAGTTCTCACTTGACGTTGCACGTGTACACCCTCAAAAGTACTTCCCTACTCAGAGCAAAGAGCCCACTGGAAGGTCCTTCTGTGTGTGTATTAATTTTCAATAAAGTCTTTGAACTCCACAAATGTACTCTAGTATTCGATGGTAGATTACCACTAACCATACCATATTTATTAACTGGTTAATATTAAACTTTGAAAGAGGATCAGGGTCTCTTAACTCAGTTCATTTTGCTTGCTTATCTGACGTGTGAATACCTCTTAAATGAGGCAAAATATTTTAAGAAACTTAAACTGTTAAGCCTCTGTCGAATTAAAGTTGTTCTGACAGAGCAGGAAAAAATAGTTCAAATATATTGCAAGAAAGGTAATTTAGTAATTCTGTAATCAGACTGTCAGTGTTTTTGCAGCACAAACAGCAGTCTCAACTTCCTTGAGTCTTCTGTGTGCTTTGAACACCAAAATTAAAGCACTTTATGCCATTCACCCTTCAGCCATCTAAGGTTGTCAGATTTAATGAGGACCATCAACTGCTTCAAGTCTTGCGAAGGTGATTGAAGTTGGAGCTAGCATGCCACTTGAGGTTTTTTTGTGTGTGTGTATGTGTGTTGCTTAGTTATTCAGAGTCTTTTAAGTGATATTTTGGGAAGGATGATAGATGATTTTTACTGTCAAACCCACATTCATCTGATATATTTAGTAGACGGAAACGGGGGGAAAGCTCTGGAAATATCAAGTCCAGTAGAGAATGATATGGTATAAAATATCAAAAACAGATGTTGAGCACAGAGTGGTAAGACACCGTTGAACCTAAAAGCCACAATAAGCAATAAATAAATTGAGAGAATCAATCCTCATGGAAGCCTACAACTCCTTTCCTTTCCAAAAAAGTTGGAATTTTGTGTAAAATGCAAAAAATAAATACAAACTTATTTTTAATAATTTAAAAAGATAGGTTTTAAAATGAAAATACAGCTGATTTCATGTGATATGTCTCCTAATTGTACTAGCAGGTTTAATTCTTTAGGTATAGGCTTAAAAGGAAGTGTCACATTTATGCATTCAAAAATCAAAGTAAGTGAAGTAGCTTTATTAAAAGCGTTTAATATGTTTAGAGCATCACAGTAGCAATCGGTGTAAACAGTATGTATGTTACGAGCTAGCTGTTTCATAAATATAACAGCTCCATTCACAGTAAGAATCAGAGGATCTTTTAATCTCACATTTATTTGTCAGCACATACCAAAGCAGATAATGATGGACAAAAAAAATTTAAAGGCAGCTTTCATTTTACATTCATACATGTTTTGTCGTGATTCAAAGGGATTTTTTGATATATCACAAGCTGATTTAAGGTTCAGAGGCAAGACTCCAGCAAACATTAGAGAAATTGTGTTTTCTGTGTTGGAAAAGAAGTTGCAGCCTTGAGATTTGTTCTCTTTGCTTGACTCTGCTTCATGCTTGCATTAAATAAGCCATTCTCTTTTTGTTTGCCTGATATTTGCCTGTTTAAACTGCTGTCTCATTAAATTCTTCACATCTTCCATAACCCTGTTTTGGTTTTATTGCCCTTGTGTTTCTCTGACTTTACACTGTCCACCTTCCAAGTATTACCTTAATGATCATTTACGATCGGAGTCATCAGACCCCTTTGGTTGCTGTGCTTGGTTTCTGTCTGCTGCCCCCTGATGAAACTCATTGATTTCTGCAGTTAAGGTTGTTTTTTCCTTTGGCACTGCAGATTGAACCGTTTGAATTCTATCCCCAGCATTTGCTTGTAGACTTTCCACTTTAGGAAGACTTTTTACATTAGATGTAAGAGATGATTCTTTCTCTTGGTCTTTATTGCTATCATTACTTGTATCTTTAATGTTTTTTGCTACTTTGTGCTCAGCTGCAGCATCAGATTTGCTGCTTTCCTTTGGCTCTGTATCAGCATGTTCCTTTCTCTCATTCACAAGTGCTGTATGTGAATTTGATTTAGCAGTCAAACCTATGGCCTTCTCATCTGTTTCAGAATTAAGATTAACCTTATCCTGAACCTGAATAGCGTTGCCTAGCTCTTGAGTTTTTTCTGACTGTTCAGACTCATGAACAGAGATTTCGCCAACAGACTTATTTGTAAGAGCTGAGGTCAAACTTATTTCCTCACCATGTCCTTGATCACATGCCTCAGATTTGTTCTCAGTATTAACTTGGAGTTTATCATAAAGTTTAACAGAAAGCTCTGTCTGAGCCTTTTCCACTGTAACTGTTGTCATCTCCACCTTTTCTGTGCTTTCAGCTTTTTCTTGATGCTCAAGCGCTTCGACAACAAAGCTTTCACCCAATAAATCTTCCCTTTGTGCAACTTTATCTATGCTGTTCTCTTCTTCATTCTCAGCCACTTCAGTCTCCTGTGACCCTTCTTTATTTTTATAACCCTTTTCACCACCTTCATCCTGATCAGGACTCTCTTTACCCCCACCATCACTCCCATTCTCTTCATTTACCACTGATACTTGATTCTGCTGACTGTCAGATATCTGGTCACCTTCTCTCTCTCGAGTATCTTTACTATCATTCTCTTTCTTACCGCTCCCTCTCTCACTTTTGGAACATCCCTGCTCATTATTTCCCTCTTCTGAGCCTGTATCCTCAAATTCTGACATCTCAATTTCCCTGGTGGTCTCTGTTATGATTTCCTCTACAAACTTGTAGTGGGGCTCTGCTCGCCTGCGTGGGCCTCCCGGTCGGTTATGGCAAGGGAGCGTGTAAATAGGGGACTGATGGTAGATATAGGGCAAAGAGATGTGTGTGTCTGACTCTGTGGACAGCCGAGCCTCCTCGCCACAGAGAAGTTTCCTGCAGGACAAGAAAGACAAATCTTATGTTAAGTGTTGGTTGTCTTTTAAATGTCATCAAACACCTGACATTTCACCTAAAGTTTACCTAAGGCTGACCTCATACATGACATAGTCACTGTAATGTAATGTTCTCCATCTAGACCCTTAAAAGAACTGTTCTCATTACATTACCAACTGACTGTTGCAGTAACATCATTTCCACAGCACTGCACAGTCATTGATTTCCCGGGACAATGAAGTTAGCTTCAGTCTAGATAAATGCAGGGCTCTTAGTGCATGATTAAAGCACTATGAGCTGCTTTAATCTAAGAGTCTGAAAAGTGGGATCTATGTGGAAGTCTATGGAATACATAAATAATCTCTTTCCCACAGAAGACAAAAGTTAGCCACCGTGATAATAATACCTGTAAGACAGTATCTCCACATCCAAAGCCATCTTCACATTCAACAGATCCTGATACTCCCGCAGATAACCAGACATGTCGAAGTTGCAACTAATGAGCTCATTTTCAAGTTCTTTGATTGTGTTCTAGGGCAGAAAAGATAACATTTGTTAAGTGAGCATATAAACAATGCGCACGGCTTAACTATAATATGAAAACCACTTTACCTGATAGTGAATAATTTCCTCCATGTGGCGATCCTCGACGTCATGAAGTTGCTTCTCCAACGCTTCTCTGGTACCTTTAGCGCAATCCAACTCGATGTTTTTGGCCTGCAAGCTCTTCCTGTACTGCTGAATCTCTTGCTGGCTCGCTTTTAAAGCCTTTCTCTTGGTGTCAACTGCCTCCGTTAATCTTGCAATCTGAGATCGGAAAGTTTCTCCTATCTGCTGAATGTCGGACGCGCTGTGACCTTCCAGCTGTGCCCTGATGTCTCGGAGTGCCGCAGTGACGCCAGGGTGTCCAAATTCGTGGTCTTTCACAGTTACTTGCGCTCCCTGGATTTGGTCCAATATCTCTGCCACCTGGGCCTCATGGTTGTTCTTCAGGAAGTGGATTTCATCTACGAGGGACTGCGCTTTCTTGTCCAGGTGTAGTTTAGCCTGATACGCGTCGCTGACGTCCTTCTTCAGGACCATAATTTTACTCTCAGTATCGGATCTGCTACGAACCTCTTGTTCACATTGCCGTCTCAAGGTGGAAAGCTCTTCCTCTAAATTCTGATGCTCAATATCAATCTGATGCTTCTGATGTGCAATTTCCTGAACCAGCTGTCTCATCTTCCTGACTTCTTCTCCATACTCCTCCTCTAAACAAGATGCGGGCTTTGCTTTGCCTCGTATCTCTTCGATTTCTCTCTCCAGCTCGTGGTTCTTGTGTTCCAGCTGGTGCACCTTCTCTATGAATCCCGCCAGCCGATCATTCAAGCCCTGCATCACTTCTTTGTCATTAAACTTTGCATGTACATTTACCGGGTTGGTCCAGTTCGTCCCCCTGATGGCGACACCGCTATCCGGTCGCAAATGTCTAGCTTTTTGTTGTGAATCGAGCTCTTTTGCGATTCTGTGTGCGTTGCAGAGTCTGTTATCCATCCTGTGAATCGTGTCGGCGCTGTAAAGATGCAGTAAAGAGAGGCTCCACGAGGGTTTTTATAACCGTCGCCATATGCTAGGTATGCAGAATGGGGCTGTCCACGGTGCTGAGAAGGGTGTAGCATCAGCTAATAGCTGATCAGCGCTTACACCACATTTTAAGCATGTGACGCCGGTAACATGACCATTCAACATCATCAACATCATCATCATCAACAACAACATTATAACAATCTGTACAGCGTCGTTGTATGTACCTATTCTCCTATTTTCATAAAGTAATCGGACAGATTGGCGTAATTAATTAGTATGAATTTTAGGAATATTTTTAATATTTCCAGAAATTAACTACATGTACATTTCCCCCTACCCTCCACCCTCAAATTCTGTTTTATCTTTTGAGATGCTTTACAAGCAGCTGCCTTCTGCTGCCTTCAGCTGCTGATTGTTTGTCTTCAAAGGTGATAGACATGCTCGTTTGCACTGAGGTCAGGTAACTAATTCAGCCATTCGACAACATTTCATTTCTTGGCCAGGTAACACCCTTGGATTGCTTTCTCAGAATGTTTTGGGTCATTAGCCATCTGTACTGTGAAGCACTATCCCATTTGGTTTTCATCATTTGACTGAATCTCAGGAGAAAGTGAAGTCTTGCATGCTTCAGAATTCATCCTGTGACTTCTGTCAGCAGTTATGAATAAAGGCCAGTGATGCAGGTCAAGGTTCAAAGTTCTTTATTGTC